CCTGAGATGAGCCAGGCCCAGGCTGGTGCTGCTGAGGGACGTTCTGGGCAGAGCAGAGCGGGCTGCAGGGTGGGCTGGGGAGGGACAATCAAGGTAAATCCACACCTCATGCAATTCTGGCACTACTGGAACACCACCAGGGAGGAACTGGCCCATTCCCAGCCCCTTGGTGGGGGACAGCAGCACCAGCTGGCATCAGCAAATCTCAGAGTCACTACGTGATGCCCTGATTTTTAAAAGTGTTAAGTTTTCTTTTATAGTTCTTTTGGAAGTTTTGAAGTTCTCATAAAACTCCTTTAGCCTTATGACAATGTTTACATATTTGAGAGTTAGAGTTCCCACACAATTTCATGTAGAAATAGAATAGTTTACATATTTCTCTGTGGGTGGAGAGAAATGATTGATTGATCTTTAGAAAAGTGGTAATCCCATCCTCCAATCCACAGTCACCTTTAGAATTCTATAAATAGCAGATGTTTGAATAAAACAGGGTCTTTTTCTCTTTTGAACTCACCAAGCTTCTGTGTACTCATTGTGTGTCCAGTAGTGACAGCTATGGTTGGAAAGGACCTTTGAGACCACCAAGTGCAGCCAGCACCACCACCATGGTCACCATCAAACCGTGTCCCCAGGTGCCACATCCACCCTGGAGCCCTCCAGAGATGGGGATTCCACCACTCCCTGTGCCAGGGCTTTACAACCCCTTCCCTGACAAAACCTCCCCCGAATTCTGAGCTGAACCTGCCCTGCTGTGGCTGCCCTGCCCTTGAGAGGAGCCCCCAGGGCTCGTCCTGCTGCCACCCAAGTGTCCCCAGCACGGGGAGGAGGAGTTGGTGACATGCTGGGATGTCACCAGGCAGCCTGATGGCAGAGAAATCAGTGACTGCAGCTGCTGTCCTGACAGGCAGGCCCAGAAATGCACCCAGACATTTTTATTAGTGCTGCTGTCACCTCCCGAGCCCAGGAGGTGCTGCAGGTCAGGCCCCAGGGACCTGCTCCATTCAGAAGCACAGTCCATCCTGATGAGATCATTTGGGGCACTCCTGCCTCTCTGCAAAAGACAAGAGAAGTCTCTCTGCTTGAAAAAAAAAAAAAGGAAGAATCGAGCAGCAATAAAAATAAAATCGACTTTTTCCCAAGCAGGCAGCATCCTTGAGCTCCATGCAGCCCCCCAGCTCTGCTCCCTTCCCCTCAAGGACACCCCCACTCCTCCTCGAGGCAGTTCTGGCTGGGTAAACACGAGGCTGCCCAGGAGCCACCTCTGAGAAATTTTCCTTCCTCCTCTGTTCCTTTGTCAGGCCCAGACAGGTTCATTAAAAACATTCAGCACTTTCTGAACCTGATTATGCCCTTCCCTGTGCCTCAGAGCTGGGGACGTGTGGTGCTTCCTGAGCAGCAGCTGCCCTTGGTGCCTGCACAGGGGCTGCTGGGGAGGAGATCCCGGCACAGCTGGCACAGCTGGCACAGCTGGCACAGCTGCTGCAGGGCTCAGCACAGCTGCCCTGCCCCACTGCCAGCCCAAACTCAGCCCCGGGGTGAGCTGCAGCCCAGCTGCTGCTCCCTGGGTGATGGAGAGAGCCCCAGCAGTGCTTTGGGAGCCAAACCCAGCCAAATGGGGCTGGGAATGGCCATCCCTGCCTGCCCTTCCTGCTGGGACCCAGCCCAGGGGCTCGCAGGGCACCAGGCTGGATGGGCAGGGCTCCGGCCCACCTGGGAACAGCAGCAGCAAGCCCAAGGGCGAGGGGCACACAGGGCTGGCCTGGGACAGGGGACACACCAGGCACAGAGCCTGGGGTGCCAGGCTGCTGGGGGCTGCCTCAATCCCACTAAATCCCATCCAGGGACACCTCCTGTGGGAATCCAGGGCTTCCCTCTGGCTGCCCTGGCAGGTCTGGGACCCTGGCAGGGGTCAGGACAGAGCCCCCAGAGACACTGGCTGTGATCTCTGGCCATGGAAAAGAGTTTTCAATCTTACAGGATCAATTACAAGCTCTGAGGGTCTGATATAAGTAATAATTAAGTGTGGCAC